TATATTATTATTTTAAATTTACAATTTTAAATGATACAGTAATAATAATATTACGAAAAATTATTTACTGCATTACCTTTTTCTGTTGGTTCCTGTGCATTACTCTTTGCTCTTCCCACTCAGTCCGTACACTGTTAAAAGCGGGTCGTGATCTGACGGTCGTGATTAAGATGTAGCGTGCACTTGCTTGTACTTTATTCAAATTTAGTGGGGGGAAGGATATATTTAGTCAACAGAGGCATTAAATCAAGGCCGTTGGAGGTGAATAAATGAGTACGTGTCAATGATACGTGAGTTTTTATGATGCAGCACAGTACGACATGATTGGACGGCCATGATGTCATCATTGCCAGAATTTGCATTAGATCATTCCTCTTTTTTAATTTTTTAAAATTAATTTATTTTTATTGATGAGTTATTGGTTAAAATAAAAACATTTAATATTCTTGGTATAAAATTTTAAAAATAAAAAAATTAACAGTAAGAGAACTTCTTGTATGAAATTTGGTGGGATTCAATTTTAAATTAATTAAAGTTTTATATTGTTTCCTAAAAAAATAAATCAGTTTACCTTTCTGTGGTCCCGGCTATATCCGATTCAGATCCAGCCGTGCGACGCGAATCATGAGATTCCCTTCACCACATCTTCCCCTACACATCATAACACTTTATCACTACCCCCAATCAGAGACAGACTCCCAAAATCTCGTAAAATTTCCTTCTCACGGCATTTTCGTTTCATTTTATCGGGTTTTTTTAGCCACATCCACCCGTTTTCTGCGGCTCCGCTTCGTCGCCAAACGGATAAGATCTCCCCCCCTTCACACCGCTCATCGGACGGATTAAATCACGCACCGCCACGTGTCGTGGATTACAACCGTTGATCATTTTCCGAATTTGAGCTATTTAACCCGGGTTAAATCTAACCATTCTCAGGTTTCCAAAAAACAAAAAAATCCTTATCCTTTATTATTTCAGGCTTTCACTTCATTTTCTCTCTACAGCTTTCAGTCTCTTTCTCGCTCTTTCTCTGCAACTTATAAGCTTCGTTGATGGCGTCTCAGATCTAAGAATCCGGAAGAGCATAATCAACACAGAAACGACTGTTCACTTCTGTGTTTGCTACGAAATCTTGCTCCATTTTTGCTTCACTAGTCGGGATTAATGCAGAAGAAAATGGCATGTTCGCTTCCGGAGGAGGTGATGGAGCACGTGTTCTCGTTTATAGAGTCGGATAAGGACCGGAACGCGATATCGGTGGTGTGCAAGTCGTGGTATGCGATCGAGCGGTTGTGCAGGAGGAGGATTTTCGTGGGAAACTGCTATGCTGTGAGTCCGGGAATGGTGATCAAGAGGTTCCCGGAGGTGAGATCCGTTGAGCTGAAAGGGAAGCCGCATTTCGCGGACTTCAATCTGGTGCCGGAAGACTGGGGCGGGTACGTTTTGCCGTGGATCGTTGAGATGGCCACGGCTTACCCGTGGCTTGAAGAAATTCGGTTGAAGCGTATGGTGGTTACGGACGAGTGCCTGGAGCTCATCGCCAAGTCGTTTAAGAATTTCAAGGTCTTGGTGCTCTTTTCTTGCGAGGGGTTCTCCACTGATGGACTCGCTGCTATCGCAGCCAATTGCAGGTTTACTCATTTCTCTCTTCTTCTTGTTTTTTTTTTTCTGGATTTATTTCTTTTTTTTTTTCCTTTAAAGAATGAAGTTGTTTCAAATACTTGTTTCATTGCGGTTTTCATTTTGGAAATACGAAATAGTTTTAAGAGAAATTTGACCAACATTTTATTTTAGTCTTTTCTGTTTTTAGTTATGAGTTCAAAATGTTGGCTTTTTATTTTTATTTTGTGCAAAATGCGTAAAAAAAAAAAAAAAAAGTGGCAGACCTTTCTTTGCTACCCTGTCATGCAATTGAATGTGATTTCGGTGACTGCCTGTGGTTTCTATGGCTTAGCCTGGTTAAGGGTTTTGCTTGCAGATTAGAAACCAGATGGGGGCGGACTTTAATTCTTTTCGTCTCTTTTTTCTGTAACTGCTTCTGTAGATCGAGTGGACCATGAAATTCTTTTTTTTTTCTCCCAGGAATATCTAACGTTGAAAATCTAGTAGAGATTATTGGAGTTTGCTTTATTTTTTTAATTTTTGTTTGTTATGGACAAATTCGACCTGTAGTAGTTGTCAGGTTTGGGGTGGTTGCTTGCTGGAAAGTGTTGGTTTCTTTTTGATTCTCTCCTGCTTCACGATATCATAGCTTGAGATGATAGATCTCTTTACCTTCCTCTCCTTTTTTTCATGAATTACTTTTCAAGGCTGTTGTACATTCCGATTGTTTGGTTTTTTGGAATAGTGGGAGAACCCGGAATGCTCATGTGGGAATCTTAAATTTGAAATTTTGGTTGGTTTAGTTTGACAATTATGGTTGACTGAGTGATCAAACAAGTAAAGAATATATGAGCTTCCTTCTATTGTAAGCAAAATTGGAAAAAGAAGGAAATTATTGAGGTAGATTAGTCGTTTTCACATTTTCAGTGAAAAAGACAGCTGTAAAGGTCTAGTTCTGTTCAACAACTTAGATTTTTTTTTTTTTTTGGATTTTGAATTTCTTCATTTCCTCACTGGCATAGTTTGTTATAGATTGTCTTTTTTGCACTTTTAATAATAATAATAATATTACTATATTCTAGAGTAGTATTGCATCTGACTCCTGATGTTTATGGATTCTGCTCTTTGATGTTGCAGGAATCTTGAAATGCTTGACTTGCGGGAAAGTGAAGTGGATGATTGGAGTGGCCATTGGCTTAGCCATTTTCCGGAGACGTGTAAGTCCTTGGTGTCCCTTAACATTTCATGCTTAGGGTCAGAGGTTAGTTACTCAGCCTTGGAGCGACTAGTAAGTAGGTGTCCCAACCTGAGGACTCTTCGCCTCAACCGGGCAGTGCCATTGGATAAGATTGCCAACCTACTTCGGCGTGCCCCGCAGCTGGTTGAACTTGGAACAGGTGCCTACTCTGCTGAGTTCCGCCAGGATGTCTACTCAAACCTGGCTGAAGCAATTTCGGACTGCAAGGAACTGAAGAGCTTGTCTGGGTTTTGGGATGCTGTTCCAGCTTACCTTCCAGCAGTTTACTCAGCTTGCTCTCGGCTAACATCACTGAACTTAAGCTATGCCACCATCCCAAGCACGGATCTTACCACGCTTGTAAGCAAGTGCCCAAGTTTGCAGTGTTTATGGGTAAGCTTCTCACTTCCTTCAAGGGTTATTATTGATCTCCTTGTGAACCTGTCTTGCTAATTTTAATGAAAATAGTCGGGCTTATAATGAAAATTTAGCAAGTAACAGGAGATAATCCTAAACAACAAAAGTTGGCAACCCATTAGGTGATCTGATGATCCCTTTAGAGATCTTTTGCTCTGCAAACAAGTTCCAATAATTCAAAAAGATCATGCTTTAAAAATCCTGCACTAAATGCTTGTCTCTTTCTGTTATCTTTCCCCAAGCAAATAAATTGTGTGTTTACAGGTACTGGACTACATTGAAGACAGTGGCCTTGAAGCTGTCGCCTCGTGTTGCAAGCACCTCCAAGAGTTACGAGTATTTCCATCTGATCCATTTGGTGGGGAACCAAATGTATCCTTGACAGAACAGGGCCTTGTCTCTATTTCTGAAGGCTGTCCAAAGCTCCAGTCAGTTCTGTACTTCTGCCGGCAAATGTCTAATGCTGCCTTGCTCACAATTGCCATGAACCGTCCAAACCTGACCCGTTTTCGTCTTTGTATAATGGACCCACAGACCCTTGATTACATGACCTGTCAGCCCTTTGATGTTGGTTTTGGAGCTATTGTGGAGCACTGCAAGGATCTCCGCCGCCTTTCACTCTCTGGTCGCCTCACTGATCGTGTGTTTGAATATATTGGGACATATGCAAAAAAGCTAGAAATGTTATCCGTGGCTTTTGCTGGAGATAGTGATTTGGGACTCCATCATGTGCTGTCAGGGTGTGAAAGCCTCCGGAAACTAGAGATTAGGGACTGCCCCTTTGGGGACAAGGCTCTTTTGACCAATGCTACAAAGCTGGAGACAATGCGATCCCTTTGGATGTCTTCTTGCTCTGTGAGCTATGGAGCATGCAAGTTGCTTGGTCAAAAGATGCCCAGGCTGAATGTTGAAGTTATTGAGGAGATACCTCCAGATTCAAAGTCTGAAAACTGCTCGGTTGACAAACTTTACATATATAGGACCGTTGCTGGACCAAGGTTTGACATGCCTCCTTATGTATGTACCATGGATGAGGATTCTGCAATGAGGTTTTCTTGATAGATTCGTGGATCATGCCTCAAAGCCGTCGTAATGTCTCCACGAATCGAGATAGCAGGTACAAGCTCCTCGTGCTATTCATTGAATCATTGTTCGAGATTTAAATCTTTATGTAGCTTTAATGTAATAGCAGCCCTGATTGGAAACCGCACGTAATATGGGAGGGTATACAGATGCTCTATTGAGAGCTCAATTGCCATTCATTTTACCTTTGGCTGAGCTATGGGATACCGAATAGTGATTAATAAAGTGATCAGAACTCCTATCCTTGTTTGTGTATTTATCAGAGTTTTATTGCCCTTGTACACTGTTTCCAGACTTTTGGATGTTCGTGTGTTTGTATCGCCATTTTTGCGGGTAGTAATCATCTCAACTATTTATTCATGTCATTCTTGTTGGTCTCTTGGCGATAATAAAATATTATAAGTTCATATGCACTCGAGTTTATCATGCTTTTGAAATTTTAAATTGTTGATATGGTTTCTCTATAGAATTTACTGTTTCTGTAATTTTAACTCTATTAGATTTTAAAATTAAAATTATTCTTAGATAAAAGTAGCTCTTAATATGTCAAGTTTATTTTTATTTAATAATTTATATTGTGTAGTATAAATAATTTTATGTTATATGTTTATAGATGTATTATTTTGAATTATAAACTTCAAATATTTTTTTTTATCGACGAGGATCTTAATACTAGGAAATTTTTTTATTAAAGAATTGGTATTTTATAATTAAAAATAATTTAAATTATAAAATATTTGTTTTTATGTTTATTGTTCTTAATTTCTCAACATTTTTCTCTGCATTGTAAATTGGAAATTTTGAAGTTCCTCGTCTAGTAATGGGGAAAAATCTACGGCCAGCCCTCTACCTTGCTGATTATGAAACTGTTAGCACTTCAACTTACAATACGAAAGTTTCAGCCTTTTACCTTCTCAATCCAAATGGAAACATTCAAAATGATGGAAAGTTTATGTGCTCGCTAATATGCTGTTATTTATTGCCTTGTCAACATTAATGAGGTAATTTAGTGCCGTCATAGACTACCACAATAGACATTGACAATAAGAATGGAAAATTTTCACTTATTTTTAAAGTGAGTTTATATTTATCTATTTAAAAATTAAAAATAGAGGAAAAATTATTTTAAAATAATTATTTATATTACTTTTATATAATTTTGTTATTTAAATAATTAATTAATTTTTTTAAGATTTATAATATTAAATGTATTTATTTATTTAATAATATATAAAAATTATATAAAAATATTGTACAAAAAATATAAATATATACTATCATTAAATAATTAATATAATAATAAATTAAATATCAACTCACAGAAATTAAAAATTTTTAAAAACTTTTGTTAAGTATCAATATTATGTTAATTCTAATTTTATCTAATAATTTTATAATTAAATAGAACACAATTTAATTAATTTCAAACTAAAGTAATTTACAAAATTAATCCCAATTAATTGTCATTTGTCAAGTTCAATGACAATTAGTTAAGTTCAATTAATTGGGATTAATTTTGTAAATTAGTTTAGTTTAAACTTGATTAAATCATATTTTATTTAATTTTAAAATTATTAAATAAAATTAGAATTAACATAATATTGATATTTAACTAGAGTTTTTTTATAATTTATGTGAGTTGATATTTAATTTATTATTATATTATTTATTTAATGATAGCGTATATTTATATATTTCGTGTAAAGTTCTATTCACATCAACAAACAACATAATCAAATAGAGTTGAATACTCATATCCATCATTTTATTTTTTATATTAAAATGAAAGCTTTGATATTTATATATATTTCTATTTTTGAGAGGTGAAGTAGGAACAATTTTTTTGTATAATATTTTTATACAACTTTTATATGTTATTAAATGAATAAATGTATTCAATATCATAGATTTTAAATAAATAAATAAAATTAATTATTTAAATGACACGTAAATTTGTATACAAAATGATATAAAAAAGCTATCTTTAAATTATTTTCCTTCTATTTTTAATTTTTAAATAAATAAATATGGATTCATTTAAGAGTAAGCATGAGTTTTTTTGTTCTTATTGTTAATGTCTATGGTAGCAATCCATGATGACAATAAATTGCTACATTAGCACTGACATGGCAATGAATAACAGAATATTAACAGGCACATGAATTTTCCATCCATTTTAGGTGTTTTCATTTGGGTCCAAAAGATGAGGGGCTAAAATTTTTATATTGTAAGAAAAGGGACTGATAGTTTCATAGTGAGTAAGGTGAAGAGCTTGCCATGTATTTTTGCCCAGCAATGCAATTCATTTTTCATTCATTCCCAAAAATGCTGGGAATCTAAGATTTTCAAGTCTTGAAAGAAAATTTTACACTACCAAAATGATTTGAAAATTCCCTGACTGACAAGGTAGAATAGGCCTCGACTGCTGTGCCACGTGAAATAGATTCTGTGGTGGCATTGGTTAGTGTCCACTGTGACTGCGACTGTATCCACACATTTTTTTTATTTTGCTAAACTCACGCTATTCCTTTTTCTACTCCTCCAATCCACCTGGCAGTCTGGCACCCTCTTTCTTCTCTCATCTGAATCCTCAGGTTTTATCAACAGACAGACCATCCCAGTAATTAAAAATGTTTAGTTAATTAATAAAGATTTTTTTAATTTATACTTTTATATTATAAATTAAAAATATTTTTTACTATAAATATATATAAATATAAAAATTGATATTAATTTTAATATTATATAATTTAATTAAATAATTAATAAATTAAATATTAATTTTTATTTTTAATATAAATTTATAATAAAAAAACATTTTTAATATATCTTTAACATTATAGGTGCAGTGATATAGTTACTAACTATGTAAAATTTAATCAATAACCTATTGAGCAGAGTGAAAAGAACTCGATTTCTCTTAAATAAAATCTCAAGTTTGAGTCTTGTAAATGAAGAAACAGACGTTGGGAGTAGACCTGACAAACAGGCAAGTTGGGTCGGGTTTGGGTTGAGTCAACTCGGATGACGAGTTATGCGGGTTTGGTTATAAACGGATTATGCATTGGAAAAATCTAATCATAACCCGACCTTAACGGGTTATGGGTTAACTCACAACTTGATCTTATTTTTATTCTTTATAATTATTTTTTATTAATTTTATTATTTACAAATAAAATTATATATATCTAAATCTAATTAAAGTATGGTGATTCATTAAAACTAAATACTTTATAGTTTCAACCATAAACAATTAAATTAAGAAAAAAATCATAAAGTTATAAATAATAATAAGTTGATTAACAATAACAATATTAAATGTAAAGTATTTAAATTTCTTGAAAAATAAAGTTTTAATTTTATAATAATCTTGAAACATTATCAAGTAATTTAAGTCATTTTTTTAATGATGAAATTGCTCTTTCAATAACATTTTTCACTAAGTTATTATGTTTATGTCCTAATATCACATTTTTTAATATTTTTAGTTGTATTATTATTTCATTCATGATACTTGAGTAATTGTTAATGCCAAAAAAAAAAAAATGATACTTGGATAATTAGATCAAATTCATCATAGTTTCTTTGTCTTTCTCTAGAAATTAAGGAGTATGAATTAATAAAAGGAGTTACTAATAAGAAAATTAATTAAGAATAATAAATATAATATTTAAAAATAATACTAATAAATAAAACAAATGGGTCAACCTGTCAACCAGTGAGTTGACCCTAACTTAACCCGTGAACTGTATGGGTTGCTAATATGAGTTATCTACAGATTGCGAGTTGTGATATATAGACCCTAACTTATTTTTATAGGGTCGGGTTAGGGTCAGGTGGATTTTTGCCAGGTCTAGCTGGGAGAGCTTCTCAGCTAATAGGGTCTGATAGTATCCAATTTTAGATTAATCAAGATCCAATATAATTACTGGATATCTAGAAAATAATAAAATAAAATAAAATAACTATGTGAAATTCAGATGGTGAGATGATGTTCAAGTCTCATTAATCCCTTTCCCACTTTCCCCTGCCTTTAATTATCTCTTTAATTGTAACAAATAATTTATGTTAAAAAAAAAAATCCGTAAAGCAGAAAGTAACGTTACAGAGACACCTCAGTCCTCACACACCCAAAACTGGGAGGTCTTATTTTCACACTTTCTATTTTTATTGTCACAATTAAAAAAGTGTAGCTTTAATTATTGGGGGTGACAATAGCCTTATACCCTAAATCTAAATAAAACTTTATGTTGATGGTAAAAAATAAAATAAAATATTTTTTAAAAAAAGGCAAGGAAAAAAAAAAATCTTTTTGACCTTACCTTATAAAATCAACATCAAAGTAATGTTATAAGAATTTTTTTTTTTTTTGTATGACCATCCGGTATCCAGAATTTTATTGGGCCACTGACTAATCCGGATTCGATCCGGGCAGAACCTAATGGGCAGCAAAACTCTCCCTCATGAGTTTTAACGGAGCTGCATTTTCAGGGTTTGAACTCAAGACCTTTGGTTAAACTGGAAGAATCCCAACCAACTCATCTACCCACTTATGGGTTATATGAATTTTTTTTTTTAAGAAGAATTTGTTGTCCAATAGTTCTTGGCTAATTTACCTGTATCAAATTGAATTTATTATGTCTAATTCAGTTAAAAACAATACTCTCTTTGTTTCAATTATCATTTATATATTATATAAAAACATATAAATGATAATAGAAACCGTTTTTTTTTTTAATATGTAAGACTTGTTAAATAGTTATATTTGTTAAAAAAAATTTTAATTATCATTTCTATACCATATAAAAAAATTATTTAAAATTATATGATAAAAAATTAAAGCAAATAGAAAAATGAAAAAGAGGGAACATCATTCATCGAACGGTTTATTTATAGGGAAATAGGGCATACGATAATGAGTAATTACTAACTAATAATTAATATTTTTTATTTTAAAAATAATATAATTAATTTTTATTTTAATTGTAGATATTATATGTTAATTTTGTATTAATTTATTTTAACTTAAAAATCAAAAATTATTTTTTTAAAATTCAAAATTTTACATTTTTTTAAACATATGACAATTATTATCCCTTAAAACAAAAAAAAAAAATAGATAACCCCTTTATCTAATAGTAGTTATACTTAGAATTGTAAGATGATTTAAATTAAGTGTGTGTAAAGTGTACTAAAGTAGGGTAATGAAAATTTACCTGAATTAATCTTTATTGGGTGATGATGGACACACGTTGTAGTAATGAAGATCATCATTTATATTCTGCTGATGATTGTTGCCAATTTCACTCTCTCATTATGATCTCACACACTCTCACAGGGCTGTTGTATGTAAGTAATAAATGTGGTAAAGAGTAAAGACATCAACAGTTATGATGAATTCTTCAGTAAATAAAAAAGAAGACGTGAGAAAAAAATTTTAAAAAGGAAGAAGAAGGGCCACTTCTTTGGTCTCCGAGTAATGAAACAGAGACATTTCAAGGTCTAAAGTGGAGCTAATTAGAGAATCATGATTGTGTGTGCATCGTGCCTTTTCTCCTCCCCTTCTTCATTTATAATTGCTCTCCATGATTCTTTTTAACTTTCTACTACCACTACTACTATACTGTTTTTTTAATTTCAATACTTTCAGTTATTTATATTTTGTTTAGTGTGATTGTAATTTTAAATTTTTTATTTTAATTTTTATAAATTTAAAATTTAAAATAATTTTTTTTAGTTTTATGTATTTTTGTAATATATTGTTATGATTATTAGATAAATAAAAATAAAAATAATGTTAATACACTATTAAATAAGTTCATATATTTAGTTATAAGTGTTAAAACATTATTTAAATAAGTTATTAGTTTTTAATTTTTAGTTTTTGGTTTTTGGCTTTTAGTTGTCAAATTTATAAAAATCAAAACTAAAAATTAAAAATTAAAAATTACAACCATACCAAACGGAATCTAAATTTACAAGTAAATAACTGCTAACTTTAGAAACACGTATAAAGTCTATAGTCAAAGAAAGTAAGAAATTGACTTTAAATGCATCAAGCATATATGAGAATTGATTTGAGGTCATAGTTTTTTTTAATTTTTTTATCTATTTTTATTCGTCACTTTTGTTATAGAAAGGTGTTTGAAATTAAATGTTTTACTTTTTATTTTTGTAAAGACTTTCATTTTTTTTAAAAAAATTTTACTCTTATTGTGAACACCTTTAATGAAAATTTTATTACTATTTTAATTATTTAGATTAAAAAAAAGGCCAATAAAAATGAAATTTAAAGGGCTAATAATTGTGTTTTTTAGTTCTTTTTGTTAAATTTCTTTGTTACCATATTACACTATTAAAAATGTACAAATGTTGTAAATTATTTATTTATTTATTGAGATTTTTTTGAGACTAATTTGATTGGACCCCTCTTTGAAATCAAGAAGATTTTCCAAAGTCATAGTGGGTTGGCAGTTTCATTAATCTTCTCTTCCTTTTTTTTCTATTGAGGTTTGGTGAGTTTGGGACCAAATTGATTGAAGCTTCTTAGAAGCCAAGAAGATTTTCCATAGTCAAGCTTGTATGCATTAGGAACCATGGAGGTCATCGTCATATTGTCGCCCCCACCACCACCATTGGTCCGCATATGGCGGCCGACAAATCTTCTCCGACACTTGC